TTTTTTTTTTTTTTTTTTTTGTTTTTGTTTTTGTTTGTTTTTGTTTTTCTCTTTTCATCCTTTCTGGAGGACAAAGAAACCTGAAAGTAGTTTCTCTCTCTCATTTTTTCAGTGTCTCTAACTGAGCGCTCACCAGCGCCGGCCCCGGGTGCTGCTGGGGGCTCTGCCGGGCTGCTCGGGGAACAGGGAGCTTCTCGTCTGCAGATCCGCGGCTAAGGGGCGACCAGGGTCACAGCCATCCTCTTCGCCAAAGCCATTAGAGTTAAAGGGACATTAAGAAAAAGCCACGCACAGCAGTATAAACAGCTCTCCATTGCTGGCTTCCTCTCTAATGGTATAATTTCACTCCTTCTTGAGTTACCAGATTGTTTCCCAGATGAGGCAGGACTTGAATTTCTAATGTAAAAACTATTAGAAAAAACTCTCAAGCCACTTTCAGGTTATCTCCATCCACCACTAAAACGGCGGGGAGGGAAGAAAGGGCAAAACCCCTTTTTTATTCTCCTTTGCAAACTACCTCCAGAGGACAACTGCGGGGGGCTTTATCTCGGAAAATCCCGTTTCAGATCCATCGCGACTCGCTCAACTGGCCCACCTCCCCCCGTGGGCCGGGTCTGGACTTAGTTACAGAGGAAAGGCCTTCTCCTGTTTGCTTTCTCCAACCGACCAAGCCAACGCCTCAAGGCAGAGGTTCCAGAAGGAAGGTTTGCCCACCGCGCCCGGCCCCAGCCCTTCCCGGCTAATTGCGAGCGCGTCAACACCAGGCTTTTCTGCCCGGAGAACCCTCCTTCTTCCCACTGGGAATGGTGAGAGATGGGCATTGTGCCCTCGGCAAATATCCGGAGAGCGTACGGGGAGTGTGGAAACCCGATCGGTGCCCTCCTACCAGCTTTTTAGATGGGGGAGATAAGGATCCCTCTCCGGCCCGTCGGAGGCTTTGTTGCGGCGGGGCTCCGGCTCTCTCCCTGACCGCTATCTCGTGCCCTCCAACCACCTGTTTGTCTACCCATCTGTTGTGCCTTATTATAACTTAAAGCGCAGGCTCTTTGAGTGTAGAGATTGTATTTTTAGTACATCTGGGTAGTGTCCGTCACAATAGGGTCCTATTTCCTGGCTGAGGCCTCTCAGTATAGAGGAAATACTCATAAACCAGGAGATAACGCTCTTCTCACTGAAGTTAATGACATTTTCCCACTGTCTGCAGCAGGAGCAGAATTGGGGCTTAACAAGGAAAAAAAAAAGCAAAAACCTAACGTGCTTTTGAAGGGTCGTGGCGCGATGGGCAGGCGGGGAACCCTCCCTGTGCAGGAATAGGGGACACGGGACTGGGGCAGGAGGTGAGCGGGGACTCGGTGCTGTGGATTGCAACGGCACGTCCAGAGCAGAGCTGCTGGAGCTGGGAAGGAAAAAAAATACATCCACCCTTACCTGAACTGCTGTGCAGCCTGAGGTCGTCTAACCTGCAACACAGGGGGAAAGGCACGTTTAGAAAGGAGGTGGTTTGGTTTTCCGTCAACTGAAAAGTCTTGTTGCTCTAAGGGGGAAGGAACCCTTCTCGGGACCACAAGCAGCTTTCCAGGCACTGGGGTTAACTGGTCACTCCCCTGAAACACAGAGCAGGTGGAGAAGTGTTCCTGGCGCTGCCAAACCCCGGGGCTCCCAGCACGGTGGGACCACCCCGGCCAACCCCCACGTGTCAGGGCCTTGTCCCAGCAGGTTTTGAGCATCTCCAGGGGCGGAGATGCCACAACCCCTCTGGGCAACCCGTGTCGGTGTGGGACCAGCCTCACGGCAAAAAAGTGGTTTTTATTTTCAAAGGGAATTTCCTGCACTTCGATGTGTGCCCGTTGCCTCTTGCCTTCTCACTGGGCACCACTGAGAAGACTCTGGCCGAGTGTTTTTCAGTCTTTTCCAGCAGTTATTTACACACAGTGATTTGGTCCCAGCTCTCCTCGCGTGACGGATCCTTCAGTGCCTTCAGCATCGCCACGGTCCCTCCCTGGGCTCTCCCCAGCCTGTCCGTGTCCCTCCTGTACTGGGGAGCCCAGCACTCCCGGGGCGGCCGTACCAGTGCCAAGCAGAGGGGAAGGATCCCACCCCTCGCCCGGCAATGCCTAGCCAGCCCAGAAAACCACCGGCCTTCATTGCAGGACACGTCGCTCACGGGCAACCCGGTGCCCACACCGGGCTCTTCCCTCAAGGCGCCTACGGGTGGCCCCCAGCCCGTCCTGGTGCCGGGGATTGTCCCCAGGACTTGGCGCTTCTCCTTGAACAGCATCGGGGGCATTTCTCCAGCCTGGTGAGGTCCCTGGGACGGCACCCCGACGCTGCGGGGTACAACCACTCCCCGCAGAGCTGCCCAGGACGGGCCCTGCCCTGCCCTCCAGGAACTCCAAGGACTACGCTTCTGCTCGGTACGGCAGCTGTGATTCAGATTGGGTGTTTCCGTCTCCTTATGGAGCTGCAAACCATGCACGTTCTTGGCGGAGCAGCTCGCACCTTTTCAGTCTCTTTTCAAGCAGTTTGGGGTATAAATTCAAACGGCCAACACGCGAGGGAGCAGCTCACGGAGATGATACTGTCGTGGGTTGGCCTCCTGGTCACCGCCGGCAGCAGGACCACGGCGAAGTGCCGGGGACAGACCGGGTCCGGGCGGGGCCCCACCTGGAATAACGTCTGGCACACGCGCAGCGGCCGGAGACGCGACGGCGGGTTTGGAGAAGGGGCAATGCCGGGAGAGCGCCGGGGCCGGCTGAGCCGCCACGGGTGACGTGTGGCTGACTGGAGGGACGTGACTTTGCCAGCTCCTGCCTGTGCCTGGAAACCCGTGCAGACATCTCCTCCGAGGATGCTGCTTCGTTTGTAATCCCAACCGCAGAGGACGCAGCCAACTTGGGAGCCTTCCCGAATGATTTCATCCTGCCGAAGCCTTTCCACGCCGCTGCTGTGTCAAGCGTCGGAACGTTCATTCTCTCCAGCGGGGAAGCGAGGTCTGAGGTTGATTAATTGGGACACAGAGAAATCTGAAATAACTTTGTGAAGAAACTTGTGAGGAAGCCCAAGGGTGATGCTGTCCCTTGGAAACACACCGCAAGGACCCGCATTTCCCTTGTCTACGTCAGCGCAGAAGTCGGGGAATACACGAGCTGCAGGTGATTTTTCTTCGTGTTTGTGTCCCTTCAGGCCGGGAGGAAGCAAGGGAAGAACTTTGCTGAGGTGGGGCTGGACGCAGCGTCACGGGGCCAAGGGTGAAGTCGGGGCAGACAGAGCTCGGCGTGGGGCCATCGCGTCACGGGTCTGGGCACCGTCCCGGCCACGGGGCCCACGGGGCACAGGGGGCAGAGACCAAGTGTTCTGGTCACGCCCCGCCTCGGCGGAGCCCGCACCAAACCCGGGGCCCGACACCCCTGCCGGGGGGCTTTGATGTGTGGGGGAGCTCCGGCAGCACAGACGCTCCGCAGCTTAGATACCGATCACTCCCCGAGTCCTCTGCCAGATTTTTATCTCACTCACTCTGCGACATTAAGAAATCACTTACTCTCTGGCAGAGAGGATATTTACATTCCACACAAAGGCTTTTGGACCAAATTCTGCTTTTGGTTACACGTCTCGGTGTCCGTCCCCGTCCCCCCCCATCTTCACTGCTGCCGCAGTGAGTAACAGAGCCGACTTTGTCTTACTACGTCTCTGCTACCATACACCAGATTCCCACTCTCCGAAGTCCCCCTTCCCCTGTTTCCCATGCCAGATCCAATGCACATTTGGAAAAAAGCAGAAGGGACATCTGCTAAGCATCTAAAATATTTAACTGAAGAGGAATGTTCTAGGGCAAAGGGGGTCCTGTGATTTAGAGCCAATGCAACTCTGCTTTGAAAACTCCCGTTTCAGCTAAAACCAAATTTCGTGCACTTCTCCCTACAAGCCTGTAACGCCTGATACCGACGGACCGGCCATGGGGAAGCGTTTTCCAGCACCTGAGCGCTTCGCAGAACTCACGGGACGGGAAAGCTCAGGAAAATGAGCTCTGCTGGTGAGAAACACGAGCCCCTCGCCACGACAGCCTAGCCAGAAGGAAAATGTGTGTTCAACAACAACAACAAAAAAGGATAAAAAGTTCTCGTTTGTTGATGCTGAAATGAGGTTTGGCTCAAGGGAGACAAATGCTCAAGCTGATTCAAACCTGTCCAGGTCTGCTTCTCGCGCTTTGGTTTAACACACAGACAGCAAACATCCAGAGGCCCCCGAGCAAGGTCCCTGTGCCAGAGGGTCTTTGTCCTGGACGTAGGGATCCCCTGCACCCCACCGATCCCCTGCACCCCACTGATCCCCTGCACCCCACTGATCTCCTCCAGCCCCACCGATCTGCAGCCCCAGGAATATCTCTGCTGGGACGTGTCCCGGACTCGCCCGCGCCCAGAAGAGGGCTCTGGGGGGGACCAGCCCTGCAGTCCCGGGGAGCAGAGGGGACAGAGCTGTGGGCAGGCGCGGGGTTGCCGGAGCAGTCACGGCACGTTTGCCCAGCCCAGGTCGCGGGGGACGCAGTGGCTCCGCGGATGACGGTCCCACTGCTCAGGAGCTTCACTGGTAACCAGCCCACGCTTTGCTTTTTTGCTAATATATTCATCTGAACTGGGTTTCTCGCAGCACTCAGAGCAACTCCTCCTCCTCTTACACATTTCTGTGCATGACCTTCGCTGAAAGAAAAACATTCTTGCAAGCTGACTACACCCGCTGAAGGAACCCTGGCTGTGACATCATCCCGAGGCATGGCAGATGTTGGAGAGCGCGACCCGGCAGCCTGGCGATGGCCGGAGCGGGCGGGTAAACCTGCGGGGTGTCTGCAGGTGGGGTCACAGCGGCCGCAGGACGCCCAGAGCCCTCTCCTGGGGCTCCCGGCAGAGGTCCTGCAGGTCAGAAAATGCTTTACAGCTCAGAGACTGCGGCTTGTCCCCTTACCTTGGTCTTTTCCATTCCGCATCTTTTCCGTTTCTTCGTCATCTTCTTCCTCTGCTTCAAAAAAAAAAGGAAAAAAAAAAAAAAGCAGACATGAGACAAGTAGGTGAGAGAATAGATGCTTGAGGAACTTTTCCGTGGCAAGGGAGATGTGGCTTTTCAGGCACAGCTGACACAGAAGGGGAAGGGGGACCAGCACCATCCTTCCTACGGCACAGCAAAACCCGCCCCGCTCCGTCCTGGCCGGACGACGAGAGGTTGCAGAGGGCTGGCTGGAAGCAGCGTCTACGTTGCCCAAAAGAATGACTACTAGTGGGCTACTAACCCGGCCCAGGCAGAACTGGGACCGAAGCCCCTTGCGCACTCGCTTCAGCGCTGTAAGAAACAAAGAACTGCACAGCACGCCCGGCGGGAGGGAGGTCGTGACTTTTAGGCTGAATCTAAGAAAGAAAAACGAAAATGGCTCCTTGGAGGGTCCCTCCTGGCGCTGCAGGGTTTGCCCACGCCGGGCGTTGGGTGACGCCGATGCGGGCGCTGGGGCAAAGCCAGGTACTGGTGCCAGGCTCATTTGTTTAACTCCGGCTGAGCAGGAGAGACTTTATGGCCAGGCCCGTATTTATGGAGCGAGAGCGGGAGCAGAGGGTCACATCCTTCCGCGGCTGGTGGCTCCTATCTCCCTGTGCCCCACGTCAGTGAGACCCGTGTCAACAGGTGACAGTTATTAGGAGCAGCGATATCGCTCCTGCCTACGGCACACGCTGCGGGGAGCAAGGCGAAGGAGAAAACCCTGCGATTAAAGGTGCGGTTTGGGAACCCGAAGCGTTTTGAATTGATGGGATCAAAGGGGATCCTACAAACATTTGCTGTCTTTGTTGCTCTGACGGCAGGACCGGTGAGACATCTGGGAGTCACACGGCCTCTGCCGGCTCAGCAGTGGCTGCCGCCGAGTCCTTCGTGCAAGCGCCGGAGAGATCACGGACAAAACCCAGTGCATTTTCGATACCAAGGGACGTGACCTGGAGCTCCGCGGCCACTCTGGGCCCTGAACCTGCCCCCAGCAGCACCGCGCCCGGATCCTGCCCGTGGGCACCGTGTGGCTTTTTGAGCTCAGCTGGAGTAAAACCGGTACCAGCGCGCCCTGGGCAGCCCCGGCAGCCTCTGAGCGCGGGAGCAGGGGCAGCGGGAGCAGCTCTGGGAGGCCGGGGTGACCCTGGGCGGCGTCTCCTTGGTGCAGGGACGCGTGTGCCGAGGGGGACGGAGGGCAGGTGCGGGCGGTGCGGCGGCAGGGGCTCACAGACCCTCCAAACACAGTGCCTGCAGCTGCAGCAGGCGAGCCCGGGCTGGAGGAGGTGTCTGTTCTCACCGCTCACCTCCGGGACAATATGTGTTAAATCCCACCGACTCTCATCAGCTGAGGATAACTCATGCTTTTCCTAATTTACACAAATGAAATGATTTCAGCTACTTTCAAGGGAGCCTGCTTTCGTATCTGCATCTCCTCAAGTAGGAGACTGTAATTAATTCCATTTTCACTCCCCGGTGAACCGTAACTGCTTTGCACGATCCCTGACAAGCCTGGAAGGGCCGTCAGTAGCTCAACCCCGGGCTGTTTGCGTTTGCCAAACTCTTGGGGGTTTCAGGGGAGGGCGGGAGAGCCGCAGGCCTGGACGACACGTCGGCCACCAGCCCCCCCCCGCCC